AAGAGCGCAATGATGGTGCCAACTTGGGCCAGTGAAGCAACGTCCTCCACAACTAGACTGAAGAACAAAACGACAGCAACTTGTCTGTTCCCCTTCCCCCCGATTCTCCAGCGCTGTTCCCCTCCCCCAATTCCCCAATTAAAAAAAAAAAATCTAGACAAAAAATGTGTAAGATCTTTATAAAGAAAAATCAGAGAACACTACTAATGGCTTGAATAAATAAAGATGTACTAGTGTGTTCATAGAAGGAAAAACAATATTGTAATAAAATCAACTATCCTCAAATTAATCTATAAAATCAATGAAATTCCACTCAGAATTCTAGGACTTTTCATGGTGATATATGCAAGGATGTTCACTGAGGCACTGTTAGGAGAGCATAAAACTGGAGGTCCCCTAAGAGCCGCGTCGTAAGTCCTACCAGCACTCAACAACCCTACTGTGTTTATTCCATAGCGTGTGTGACCTGCACTCCAGGCACTACAAGTGGCAGTTCACAGCCACACAACCAAATTCTGCACAGTAGTCAAATAAATGAACCAGAGCATGTGGCCAACAGGGTGGGAGAAAGTGCCAATTACAGAATGCCACATGCTATCGATTCCACACAAACACACACAAGACCATACTGTGTGATGTGTGTGTGCACAATTTATAGCTACAAACATTTGTAATAAGAAATAGAAACATTATACACCGACTTCAAGATAATGGTTTCTTTGGAGAGTTAAAAGTGGGAGGAGGACAAGATAGCTGGACTGAGAGACTTCAACTGTGTCTGTACTATTTAACTTTGAAAAAGAAAAGGAAAGATAGCAAAATATTAATATGTGGGGGGCACATGAGTGTTTTGTTGATTGGCCTCTGTACTTCTGGAATATTGTGTATCAAAAATAAATAAAAATAAGGATCCCAGAGGGCCGGCCGAGAGGCTCAGTTGGTTAAGAGCTCACTCGAGAGTGCGACCTCTGAGTAACAGGGTCGCCGGTTCGATTCCCGGCCCGAGCTGAGCTGCTGCTGAGCTGCCAACAGGTGGCAGGATGGCTCAGCTAAAAAAAATAAATAAAATAAGGGTCCCAAAGAATGGTCTTATTCTGAGATGAAAACACTGATTTTCTCTTTCTAGGCTCTTTCTCTTTCTTCTTATAGGCCCCATCGCTTTATAAGAGTTCCACTGGAAAACAGGATTTACAGTTTTCTGCTTCTCCCCAGGATGACCTTTCAGAAACCAGTCGACTCTGTCACTGGAGGCCTCCATGGAGCGGGGGTCCAAGCCCACCCACCCCACAGCTGAGGCTTCCACAACGCCCTTTTCTTTTCCTTCTTTATGTGAAGTCTCCTCCTTTCACAATAATTATATACCAGTAACACTTGCTTTAATTTCCAGACCAATTTCCTACATGTTCATTGAAAAAAGATGCTAAGTGTTGATACTTAGAATCAAAGAAATTTTAAAATCAGACCAATTTTGAGCCAATATTTTGTAAATATAATATACATGTGCTAAAACACATTTCTGAAGAAGAACCAGAGCTCTGCATTGTCCCAAGCTCTACTGTAAATACACGTCTGTGCTTACCTCTTCAGGGACTCTACGAAGGCCGCTCGGCTATCGGGGGGACTCGGGAGCTGCGAGAGGAAAGACGAGGCCCAGTGAGATGCCGCTCAGGGACGCCTCGCTCTATGCCACCTCGGTCCCAAGTTCATGAAGGCGCAGACTGACCACTCGTGGTGTAAGCAGGGCGGGGAGGAAGTGGGCCACATAGTAGGACTTCCTGAATATGCTGCAACACAGGAGAGCAGGCTCAGATGAGAGGAGCATCAGGACACCTCAGTGAAGACAATAAAACGTCACCTCGCACTCAGTCACTGCAGGTAGAGGGTGGCACCTGGGGGGCTGTCTCATTTCAGGGCTATCCTGTTAGATCACATTTTCAAGTCCTTTTTCACTTGGGACATTTCAAATGCAAAGGGTAGTCTGTGCTGGTGACAACCCCATGTCCCAGGGAACCAGACAATGCTCTGCCACAGGCATGACCATGAAATCTGGGTTAATACAAGGTCACGAGGGCTGCTCCCAGTCAACGTGGGCATTCTCCCTGGAGCTGACCTAGAAATCTGGGGAGCTGGGGTCACATTTCTCAGAAGCAATACCTTGAGACAGCTACCCCACGACGGCAGCAACCAGGATTCCAGGAGTTTGGGTGCAAACCAAATTCAACAAGCTCCTGCTGTGCGACTCCCTCCCTGTCCTGGCTTTACACCGTCACCAACAACCATTATCAAAAACCATCCTTATGAAACCTAACCGAGGGCCTGCCCATTCCCGTCCCTCTGAACAGGGCAGGCTGCACATGGCTCCGGCTGTTTGGGGTACGCATGCTTTCCAAAAGAAAACGCATGTCTGGCACAGTCTCAGCACCAGTCAGCTGCAGGACCCTCGCTGGGATGTCACTCAGTCTCCTCACCCCATGTAGCTGAAAGCAGCATGACCTTACCTGGCCTCCATGACGGCAACAGGAATCCTTCCTGTGTGTTCAAACACTGTGATGGCCTTCTCAACATCCTGGGATGCCTGGCTGTGGGGCTGGATGCACAGGGACACTGAGACGCTCCCTCGCACTGGCAGAACCGCAGGGAGGGGTTGAAGGCTCCCTTCCCCAATGAGTCAGACACCAGGCAGCCTGGACAGCTCAGCAGCTCTGGGAGCTGCTGCCACCCCTTCAACGATAGTGAAGGGCTCCAGCTAAAGAGTTCCAGGTGGCGGGGAGGGGAAGCAGACTAAATTCTTGTTATTTAAAACTATGAAGTGGCTACTCATGAAAAGCAATAAATCCTAAGTGGAAAACTGCAATAAGAATTTTTAAATGTTCACTTTAACAGCACCTAGAAGAGCTCTCCAGCAACTCACAACCGTTAAGTAAAAGGGTCTTAAACACACACAAATGCCACGTGGCCATCTGATGGGGTTTACACAAACAGCGCCTTTTTCTGTGACTCCAGCTAAAACATGAGCCCTACTGGGTCCCAAACCCCACCCACTCCTTCCATCAAGCCCACAAGAACAGAGTCCCCTATAAGCAGATGCCCCTGCTGTGAGCAGCAGGGGCCAGGCACCAGAGGACCAACACCTCTGGGGTAACTGTCACACTCCAACTGCACCAGACATGCTAGGTCCCGGACAGGAAAGGCTCACACGCTCAACCCAGAGTCACCAGGATGAGACTGTGCTTGCTGAGCAGTTCAGGGCTACCTCAGTGATGTTCCCGGCTGAAGACAGGTCCTCATAGAGCCCCATGTTTTCTATAGGAACCTGCAGAGGAGACATGGTGAGGAGGTGAGGGCCCAGACAGGTGCTGGCAACTGTGAGAGGTCGGAGGTGGGGGCGGCCCAGACTTGCCTTCAGGTCGGCCAGCCGTGTCCTGGCTAGCGAGATGTAGTCCGTGAGGAGGGAGCGGTACTTGCTGGGGACAAGTGGCGGGTGGAGAATATGCACCTGTAAGTGGGCGACAGAGTAGGACCTCAGCCTGTCAAACTGCTGGTAACTTCTGGGGAGGCACTTACATTGATGACAGGAAAGTTAAAGAATTAGCCAAAGAGTACAACGACAAAAGCTGGAGGTGGGACCAGCGGAATCCTGAGTGGGTGGGCTGGGGGAGGGCACTGTCCCCTCAGCCACCAAACCCCAGGGCCTCCTCTGCACACCTCTTCTCACTCCTCCAATGGGAGGTGCCCATCGCTGCCAATGGTGTTCATGCCTCCAATCACGAGGCACTTTTCCATCTTAAAGGCTGCCAGCTGCAGCCACAAACAGTGGTGCCCAGGAGGAGGTGCCGGGGGAGACAGTGCCCGAGAGGAGGTGCCCAGGTAGGAGTAGCCCGGGTAGGTGGTGCCGGGGAGATGGTACTCAGGGAGGTGGGGGTCACGCACTCTGGGCAGGTGAGGAAGGAAGGCCTGGAGGTGTGAGGGCAGCGCTCTGGGCTTCTCCCGTGCCAGGTACCTGACTCATTCTACGCTCCATCCTATTACTGCATATGCATTCTTTGGAACGCAACGGAAACTTCTTAATTGAAAAAAGGTGAGGGGACGGCCGGTTGGTTCGAGTGGTTAGAGCGCAGGACGCAGTGCTCACAACACCCAAGTTGCTAGTTCGATTCCCGCATGGGCCACTGAGCTGCGCCCTCCACTAGACTGAAACAACTACTTGACTTGGAGTTGATGGGTCCTGGAAAAACACACTGTTCCCCAATAAAATAAAATAAAATATTTAAAAAAAAATTTGAGAATCAGTTTCCAGATGCCCTACCCCTTAAGACAAATGCTGGGTATAGTTGCCTGATTTTAAGGAATAGGTTTCAGAAAGGTGTACTTTCATCATATAACAGACTTGTTATAAAAATGTAGTTTTCCACACCGGGGTGTAACGGTCACTGACAGTTTGGGGTGTATTCTTCCATATTATTCTCCTTCAACGTATTGGGTTGTCGGAAACGTCATGACTCATTTTTGCAACGAAAAACATAGAAAAAATATGGCATGACTTTTCCAACAACCCAATAAAAACAGCATCTGTAAAGAGCCACATGGGACCACACACACTCAGTCTGCACCTTGCTCTTCCTGCACTTGCGCTCGGGGCTGCTTCACGGAAGGGCTGATACCGCCCTGCAGGCCACCTCCCAGGGACAGACAAGTGCCGGCTGCTGGCACTTCACTGTCACAAATGCGGTCACTGAGTGCACACAGACATCCCTGGTTGTACCGTCACCTGCTCAGGGAAGACCAGGGGACGCCTTGGGGACGCTCCTTCGCCTGAGGAGGACGAGAGCAGAAGGTGCCAGCAGTCAGCTTCTCACCTTCAGGTAGCTGGGAGCCTCGAAGGGCACGAGGTCTGACAGGAACTTGAAGAGGAAAACCAGCGCCTTCTTGCTGCAGCTGTGGGGGCCCCTCGCGCTCCCAAAAGAGGCCTGGAGGGAAGAGGGGTGTGAGGCACGGATGGCGGGTGCCCCACTGCGTGTATGCCTCAAAAACAGAGAAACCACAGAGCCATTTTGGTTCAGATCATTCCAATATCGCGGCCACACTTTGACTAAA